ACTTGTATTTTCAAAAATTGTAATAAAACTGTTCTCGGAAATTCAATTCTAAATTATTTTTTAGAATTAAATATAAAATTCTTCCCATAAATTCAGTTTTAAATAATTTTTAGAATTTTATATAAAATTCTTTGAAAATTAAATTATTAAATAATAAAATAAATAATTAAATTCATTGAATAAATATTTTTCTCAAAATGTTCAAATATTTTAAATATAATATAATGTTACAATAAAATTTCTCTAAAAAAGTTTTCAAAAATTTTAATATAATTCTTATCAGAAATTCAATTATTTATAAAAAAATTCAAAGAAAATCTAGTTCTAATTGAAAATTGTAAGTTTAATATAATTCCATTTTTAAAAAAAGTTTTATTTAAAATTTTTAAATTCATCTGTTATAAATACCTAATAAAATTTTTTGATATAATATAAATAAAATATTTCAAAATTATTTGAAAGAATTTCTAGAAATAATTAAATTTCAAAAGATTTTTAAATCGAAATCGTTGTAAATTTTGATTGTTATTAACCTGTAATAATATTTAAATATCTATTTAAAAAAATAATAAGTATTTAGACTTTGAAAAATGTAAGTAAAATTTTTTGAAAATAGTTAAATTCCTGTAAAAATTAAAAAAAATTATTTTCTTTTGTAGTTTTCCAATTCTTTTGAAATTTCCTCAAATTTAATTTAAATTTTGATTATTATTATTGAATTATGCAAATCGATTAGTATTTGATTATTATTATTTGGATAAATACTATAGAAAAATTAAGATTTTTTGAAAAATATATTTAGACTAATGGAAATTTTTCCAACTTATTGAAAATTGTGCAGATAAAATTGTGAAGCAGTAAAATAAAAACCGAAACAATTTTCCATGAGGTGAAAATAGTAATTTATCAAAATTTATAAAACAGGTCATTTTATCAGAATAGATGAAATAAGCGAAAAAAGTAAAAAAAAAAAAGAAAAAAAAAAGAAAAAGAGAGAAAAGAAGAAAAGGTAGAAACGAGAAAAAGAAAAAAAATATATAAGGGGTTAAAAGAAAAAGGAAAAGAGAAAGAAAGAATGAAAAATTTAGTAGAGAAAAAATGTCTGTAATCCTCCTAATATACAATCGAAAAAAGTTCTCAACATTTAAGTAAGATTTTACTTGGAACTATTTAATTAGTGAAAATAAGGGGGAAAAAAATAATTCCAGTTTTAACAAAATGCGGCTCTCATCATCCCTTTATCTCAATTAAAAGAATATCCCATCATCGTTTCTTTAAAACAGTTTACTTTTTCATTTTCTCTTCACATTGCAAAAGCAGAAAAAATTCTTTTCAACTAAAAACTTCTTTGAATTATAAGGAACTCGTATACACGTATTTATGTTAAATTAGAGAAATTTTCTATGCATCAAAGAAGCTTCGTTTTTTCCGCCCCTTTTTTTATCTCTACTTTAAAGTGTACATGTTCGCTTATATAAAAGTTGAACAAAGCTATGAATTTCAGAAAAAAAGGGATCATATGCATTTATGGAAAATATTCTTTTTTCTCTCTTTGAATAATCTTTGGATGTGTGTTCAGATAAAGGGAAAATGCTTTTTGCATCTTTTATATGGATTATCTTATCTTACTCATCTATAAATCTGAATTATGAAAAAGTTTAATTGATTTAAAGCAGTGACTGCCTTTTTGCTTTTAAATTAGTAAAAATTTTAAATGATTTATTATAAAAAAATTTTTTTTTTATGATTCAGTATAAATTTTAAATGATTTTTGGTCGCCTTCTTGGACCCGCTATTTCGAATTTTTCAAATATGACATCAAAATTTAAAATCAACGGACCCAAAAATCTAAGAATACTTTTTAAAATAATTAAATTTCCAAAAGACTTTCTCAAAATTACGAAAAACAATTTATTTAGAGAAAAATTTAATTTAAAACAAATTATTTAAACTAAAAAGTTAAAAATTCTAAGAAATAATCAAATTTTGGAAATTTATACGAGAAATCTGCAAACAATTAAAAACTACGAATTTTAATAAAAATATATATAAACTTAACTTAAACTGCATTCAAGCTTATTTTTATTAAGATTATTTATAACAATCATTTATTAAAAATTTTTTTTATTAAAATTATTAAATTTAATTTAGAGTATCTACTGCATACGAGGAAAATGCAAACGATTAAAAATCACAAATTATTAAATTTAATTTAAAAACTGTAAAAATTGAAATTACATGCCGTCAAACTGAAAACGATTAAAAATGACAAATTTTAATAAAAAAATGAAATTAATTTGAACTGCAAATCTACGGGAAAACTGCATATTACCATATTTTTATTAAGTTTTTTTGTAAAAACGTTTTTTTTATTTTTTATTTAAATTGTTAAATTAAATTTAAAAACTGTAAAAATTGTTTGGGATTTTTTTCTGTGTATAATTATTTTTAAGATTTTTAACAAAATTCTTGTCAAAATTAACTATAATTTCAAATATTTTCAAAAATTTTCCACAATTAAATGATTTTCAATATCTACTATATTTTAATAAAAGTTTCAAAAAAAAATTCAATTATTTAAAAAATATTTAATAAAATTCTACGCAAGCATTGAATTATTTTCATAAATAATGAAAATTTAACAGAAATTCAATTATTTACAAATTTATTTTTAATTTCTTCGTAAGATTTCAATTATTTTAAAAACTTATCCTCGATTCAATGATTTTCAATATCTACTATTTTATAAAAAAACCCAAAAGAATTCAATTATTTAAAATTTTTTTAAAATTCTACGCAGTAATTCAATTCTTTAAAAAAAATTAATAAAATTCTTCGCAAGAATTCTCTAATTTTCATAAATAATAAAACTCTTCTCAAAAATTCAATTATTTTCAATAAAATTTTAATAAAATTCGTTGCAAGAATTCAATTATTTTCATAAATAATAAAATCCTTCTGAGAAATTTAATTATTTTAAAAAATTGTAATAAAAAACGTTGCAAAAATTCAATTATTTTCATAAATAATAAAATTCTTCTGAGAAATTAATTTATTATTAAAAATTATAATAAAAAAAAGTTGCAAAAATTCAATTATTTGCATAAATAATAAAATTCTTCTCCGAAATTCAATTATTTTTAAAAATTTTAATCAAATCCGTGGCAAAATTTCATTTATTTTTAAATTTTTCCTCAATTCAATGATTTTTTATACCTAGGTACTATTTTCAAAAAATTTTCCAAAAGAATTCAATTATTTTTAAAATAATTTTAAATGTATTCTTTTAAAAAATGCAATTATTCTTAAAAATTTTATTGAAATTTCTTAAAAGAATTTAATTATTTTAATAAATAATAAAATTCTTCTCAGGAATTTAATTATTTTAATTAATATAATAAAATTTTTTTACGAATTAAATTATTTTAATAAATAATAAAATTCTTCTCAGGAATTCAATTATTTTAATAAATAATAAAATTTTTCTCATGAATTCAATTATTTAAAAAAAATTTTATATAATTCGTTTCAAAAATTCAATTATTTTCATAACTTATAAAGCTCATCGAAGAATTTTAATTATTTTTAATATAATTTTAAATGAATTCTTTTAATGCAATTATTCTTAAAAATTTAAATAAAATTCTATGGAAAATTTCAAGTAATTTTAAAGATTTTCTACAATTCAATGACTTTTAATATTTACTATTTTAATGAAATTCTCTAAAATAATTCAATTATTCAACAAAAAAAATTTTTTAAGAAATTTTATTCAAATATTTAATTATTTTTAATTTTTATAAATAATAAAAATTTTAAAATTCAATTTTATTTTCATAAATAATAAAACTCATCGTAGAATTTTAATTATTTTTAAAAATTTTTGTAAAATTCGTTGCAGGAATTCAATTATTTTCATAAATAATAAAACTCATTGCTAAATTTCAATAATTTTAAATACAATAAATTTTAATCGAATTCTTCAAAAAATGTAATTATTCTTAAAAATTTCATTAAAATTCGTTGATAGAATTCAATTATTTGAAAATTTGTTGATAACGATTTTTTATGGGAATTGAATTTTAAGAAACATTCAATTATTTAGTCAATTATTTATTATTATTATTATTAATTATCTTTCACACTGCTTTCTTTTCTTCAATAATAATCCTGAAAAATTACCATACAGTTTTCTCCTACGCAATTTATTGTATGCAGTTCTGTATAGACATTTTTAATTTAAATTTTTGTTGAAAACACTAAAAAAATCTAATTTTGAAAAATTACAAATAATTGCAGAAATTCAATTATTTTCAAGAGTAATAAAATTCTTCTTATAAAATTCAATTCTGTTTAAAATTTAAGAAAAATTCTGGTCAAAATACCAATTATCTTTATAACTTAATAGTATCAAATTGCAACGAATTGATACCAAAAATGTGGATCAAATAAAAAATCGGATCGGAATTTTTCGCATCAATTTTATCTACTTTAGAATCAATTTTTGTTACTTTCAAAAAAAACTGTGTAGTTATTTTTTTTACAAATTGTTAAAGAAAAAAGTAATTCATTTAACTAAAAATAAGTTTTTAAACATTAATTTTCAACTAATCAAGATTCAGTGATTATAATTTTAGAAAAAAAAAACTAAAAAGTGTTACTTTTGGAAAAATCAGCCACACGTAGGTATACATGAGACGAAGGAGAGTGAGAGTGGGTGAGAGTGGATGAGAGAATTATTTATTTGTCTATGATGGTGATGTACCACACAAAACTCTATAGGTTTAAGAGTTGAGTTTAAGAAGAGTTCGTTTACTTGAAAACCCCACTCTATATATGTGCGCCATCTTTCCACCGTCACCAATAGATATGCACTGCCGTGACACAGTTATAGCGATCTTCGTTGTAAATCTTTCCGAGTTGCACTAAATCCATGATCTCGAATCACGGATGGACTTAAGGATATATAAAGCGGATTAGAGCTCGGCAGCTTTGTCATTCCCTCAATACCACTCAGTGGTGAGGATCTATTGTTTAATAAACGCGAAAATAAACGAGAATCCTTTGTCTTGAGGGGGTGTTTGGCTTTTGTTTTTTTTTATTTTTTTTTTTTACATATAGAAATAATTTCTTTTAAATTAACAATCTTTATCACGGGCACCGTAACATCTTAGACGTCATGTTTAAGGTAAGATTCTTAACCAAAAACAAATGAAAAATCGAAATACAGATTTTACAGACTCGAGTATCCTTTCAATCCCCCCCCCCCCCACTCTAAATCTACCGGTCAACATGTGTCGAGGATATTATTATGCGAAGCAAGTGCGAATTATTGACGGAGCGAGTTAAGGGTTGTGCGTGCCCTCCTATAAACGGCAACTTGGTTAAATTTCAAGTAGTTTAACCACTCAATAAAAGGATAATTCTCAATAAAAATTTTGTCCTTTGATCAAGTGAAAAAAGTTCCATTTTTCTATTTCTCTTCTTTTTTTGAGTGATATTTGTGAAAAAAAAATTACTTCATGGACTTTATTTTCCCCACAAAAATAGAAAATACAAAGTGAATGAAAATATTAGACTTCTTTTTTCCTTTTAATAATTTTTAACCTAATATTTTGTTTCACTTTTGTTCAATAAAAATTCTGATAGAATTTAGAGTATTGAAAAAAGGTACTAGTTAAAAATTCTGTTAATAAGAAAATCAACTTTTTACAGAATTTGATATTTTATTATACAAATTTTTTGTGGAGAGAAAAATATTTGATTATAAAACGATTGTTATATTGTTGCAACCAAATTTTTTTTTTTTTTATACAACTTTGATTAGTTTCAAAAAATATTTGGTAACAAACCAACTGAAAATTTTGAAAAAAGTTTAAATATTTCTATAAATTTCAATTCAGAAGAAAGAAGAATAGAAAATTTGTTCAATAACATCGATTGCAAATAAAAAGAAACTTTACAGTTGACTGGACGAAAAAGGAATTTAGTATTGAAGAAATATAAATCAAATGTTTTATAGTTAAAGTTGTTTTCAAATTTTTAAACTATAGTATATTATATTAAAAGATGTATTTTTGTTGATGACCAGAATAATTTGAGGTGAAAATTAACTATAATAATTTGAATGTTCTTTCATTTATTCAATCATTAGATTATTTTCACTTCTTTTCATTAAAAGACTAAAATTTTGTTAAATATTATGTTTTCTCAAATTGAAATTATGCAGATCTTTGTTCTTTACTTCTTAACAAAATTAGAAAATTGTTAAACTACTGTGATTAAGAAATAAAAAATCCATTTATTTTGCATTATTTTTGTTTATGAATCATAATTTTTTTAACAAAATTATTATTTTGTTTTAGAAAAAAAAGAAAAATATTTGTACAATTCCTATTTTCAATCATATTTTTGGAACAGGATTTTCCACAGGAATTAAGACATTCAAAAATTTAAAATTTAAACCTTTTTTAAATTAAACAACTTATAATAATTAAAGATGACCCAGTGATAAAATCATTATTTTATATTATACGAATATTGTTACTGTAACTTATCAAAATTATTTTCATTATTTTAATTCAATTATTATTTTCTAGAATTTTAAATTATTTTTTATGAAAATAATAATTGAATTCTTTTTGGGAAATTTTATTAAAATAGTAGATATTGAAAATAATTTAAATTAGAAACATTTTTAAATAATAATTGAAATTAGGACAAAATTTTTTTTGACATTTATAAAAACAATTGAACTTTGGAAAAGAATTTTGTTATTTATAAAGATAATTGGGATTTTTTGAACATAGTTAAATTTTATAAGAATTTTATTTATTTTTTTTTAAATAATTCTCCAAAATTGAATTTTTTTTAGTGTTTTCAACAAAAATTTAAATTAAAAAATTTTTAAATTCTATTATTTTTAAAATTGCTTTTAATTATTACTAGTAGTATATTATGTTATAATATATAAAAAACTGTAGTTTAATGAAGTTAAAATAAAATTTAAATATAAAATTACATAGTAAAAGAAAAATTTGGTGATAAATTTCAATTCACTGAAAATTTAAACCCAATTTTATGAAATATTTGTCAAATATTTAAAATTTATTTAAAAGACCCCCCCACAGAAAATACATTAGTTTTGAGTCCCAGTCGATTTTTCTATTTTTTTAATTTAATAGTTTTCTTCAGAATGAATATAAAATTAAAATTCAAAATTTATAAGAAAATCGACTAAGACCCAAAACTATTGTATTTCATGCCAGTTCCTTTATTTAAATTTTATTAAAGTTTCTTAAAAGTTTTAAACTGAAATTCTAAAAAATTATTTAAAAATAACGAATTTAATACTTGAATCTATATTTTGTAAAAAGAACGATAACATTGAAAAAATTATTTTTTCGATATTTTATATTATAAATATTTATTTTTTCTTTTATTTATAATATTATGTTATTTATTTATAATATTATATAAAAATTATATAAAAATACATTATATCCTATTAAACAATACTAACATAATATTATAATATATTACGATATTTATATTGCTTAATTTACTATATATTATTAAATAATAATTTTAATTATTTTACTATTTTATATTATAATAATAATAGTAATAATAATAAATAATTAATAATAAAAAAATAATGTACACTCTCTAAATTTAAATTAGTAAAAATATTTACTAATTTGAATTATTGACTGACTTTTTGCTTTTAAATTAGTAAATTTTACTAAAAATTAGGTAGAAATTATTATTAGTAAAATTTACTAATTCAAAAGCAAAAAGTCAGTCACAGATTCAAATTAGTAAACATTTTTAGTTTTTACTAATTAAAATTTAAAGAGTAACTTACTGTAATCACAATTATTATATTTCTATATTTTATGTCACATTTTTTAATATTATTCATTAGGCAATATTTTTAATTTTCCATCTTCCACTTATAAACATTCGCTTTGTGCATTTTATGAAAACCGACATATAATATAAAACTTTTGATAAAAAAATTAATGCAAAGGTAAATTTAACCTGAAATATTTGACGTTAAGTGTGTTTTTAATCTCCATTTATATATCAGCATTCGCTTTTGACATATATTTTGTGAATAAAAATTTTATAAACAAATTTTAATTTAATTAGCAGAAGTGAAAAGTTTTAATTTTCAAAGTTAAACAGAAACTTATAAATTTAATTATTGAATTAATTATCATTTACTTCATTTTATAGGTATTCATAATTTCATCCGCTTTGTCGCTTTTTCAATATTTTTTGTACAATTTTTTCCCAATAAGAGTTTAATTCAATTTAAAAATAGGTACAATAAATAATATCCAATATTTTCAATAATAAATCTAACAAGTTGCACAATATAACTGTTTGTTTCTGTTATTATTTGAAAAAAATGTCATCAATATTTTTCGTATTATAACTTTTGCAACTTAGATTATTAAAAAAAAATTATTAAACGCACATGATTAAATTTCCGGGAATTTCTGGAAAGTACAAAGAAATGAAAATCAAAAATTCTTAAAGTTACTCCCGTGAAATTCTCGGAGTCATTCCCGAAAACTTTTTCAAGAGGGGAAAAAATTATAATAAAAATTTTAAATTATAACTATTAATATATAAATTTTTATAAAAATAAATACAGTGTTTTCTTATAAATAAATTCAGTTCAATTAGTCTAATCAATTAGTGAAAAATTTATATTCACGAAATTATTAATAAAAAAAAGCTATAGTAATTATTAATATTATTTACCTAATTAATAATATTACTCTAAATTATATGATATAGAATAATATTAATAATAGTAATAAGTATTAATTGTAATAAATATAATATAATAAAAATATTAATACCAGAATTTTTAAATTGTTTAAAATTTATTAGTTAAATTTATATTTTGAGGGTGAATTACGTTCCTAAAGTTCTGAACGTTCAAATGAACGAAGTTAAATTATTTTTTGTCCTATCTGCACGAAAAGTATGTCATTTCGGGCACTTAAAGTGGGCGCAAAGTAACTGATTCTCGCCCGGGGTCGGGAAAGCGGGCGCAAAAGTTCTTTTACGCCCGCTGACGTCACACAAGCGGGCGCAAAAGTACTTTTGCGCCCGCTTGCTGGACTTTTGCGCCCGCTTCGCTCGTGCCCTCAATGCCATACTTTTCATGCAGTTAGGACAAAAAATTATGTTCGCAACATGGGCGCAAAGGTGATTACGACTTCGGCGAGATCACCTATTTTGCGCCCTTGATACGATAATAACTATTATCTTCAAGTTAAAATTGTATTAAAATAATATTACGTCATGTGTGAAAAGAATAAATTATGAAGTTTCTAAATGTAAAATATAAGTTTTCAATTTTTATGGCAATTGGTAATTTTTGAAAATATTTTTTAACGAAAAATATTTCGTTCATTTGAACGTTGAAAATTAGTGGATCATGGTGAATTCTATAAAAGTGACATTTATGTTTTTGTTTACAATCTAAACATAATTAATAATACTGTGTTGATAATGGATCACGAATATCACATTTAACTTAAATTGCATAACGAATAATTAATGAACTTCAATGTTAATATTACCATCGATAATAGTTTCATAATGTAAAGTGGAGTAATTTTTATTACACTTATCTAGAAATGTGAAGATAAATGGAACTGAATTATTAACTGTTATTTAATATTTATTAAATAATGATAGTAATAATTTGTATTATGATTGAAATAATTAATTACTCACAGTTATATAAATAATTTATTTATAATAATAATAATATTAACAATAATGATTTTATATTAATATTATTAATCACAATATTACTATTAAAAATTAATATATTATTAATATTTTTATTTCTTCTACAATTGTAATGAAATATTAATTAATTCAATAGCATTTAAGTATCGACGCATGCTAAACTTGTCCATATAGCCCAATAATAATATGAGCATTATTGCTCTAGGGTAATAATGAGTGCTTTATTTACCTCCTTGTAGGCTCATGAAGTACCTATTATTATTCTAGAAAAATAAAGGGCAACAATGCCAATAATGAATACTTTTTTACAATGATACTTTTTTACCTCCCAGTAGGTAAATAAAATACTCATTATTACCCTAGATAATTTTTATATATATATATATATATTTTAATTTGAGTCGATTAAATGATATTTGCTTCAAATACTGAAATTATTGGTTCAAGTACCATTTAATTGCTTTAAATAAAAATTATTTGATTCAAGTAAATATTTATTTGATAAAAGTCAATTTAGATAATAATTAATTTTTTTCAGTGTAACATTATAGTTTTTATTGAAATTTTTTTTTAAAACTTGCTCTGCACAAAAAATTTTTGATGACTGTGAATCGAAAACTGGTAAACTTAACATAAAATACATTTTCAAATGCTAAAAACTCTTTCAAATTATTTGTCATATTAATTAAAGAAAAATATAAAAACACAAAAATTTATAACAACATTTTTGTCAAAATCCCAAAGTTTCATGGTATTTTTTTAAAAAAATAATTACTTTTTTGAAAATTTTTATTAAAATATAGTAGATATTGAAAATCATTGAATTAAGGAAAATTTTTGAAAATAATTGAATTTTGAAGAAGAATTTTATTATTTTTAAAGATAACTGAAATTTTGACTGCGATAAGTTTTATTATTTAGGAAAATAATTATTGAATTTCTAAAAACAATTTTATAATTTATGAAAATAATTGAATTACTAAGAGGAATTTTATTATTTATAAAAATAATTAAATGTTTGCGTAGAATAATTAAATTTTTTTAAAATTGTATGTCCTTATCTTATTTCTTATTTTATCTTATTTCCTGTGAAATCTTTATTATTTATGAAAATAATTAAATGTTTGTGTACAATTTTATTAATTTTTTTTAATAATTGATTTCTTTTGAGTAGTTTTATTAAAATAGTAGAGATATTAAAAATTATTGAAATGAGGAAAATTTTTGAAAATAATTGAAATTTTGCCAAGAATTTTATTAAAATTTTTGAAAATAATTGAATTTTAAAGAAGAATTTTATTATTATTTATAAAGATAATTTTAATTTTGACGAGATTTTTTTTTCAATTTGGAACATAATTGAATTTTGTGATAAGAATTTTATTACTTTTGAAATTGAATTAATTTTGAGACATTTAAGTACAATTATTCATTTAATAATTTATAAGTCACTATTTTATCATAGTTGTTCAAGATTTAAGTTATTTAAAAAGAAATTATTATAAGATATGGAAAAAATTTAAGGTTTTTTTTGAATTCGTGGTAATTTTATAGTTTATGAGACAAACAAAGAGACAAAAATTCAGAATTTTATTATAAATTCTAAAAATTTAATTTTTTCAGTGCTTTTAATGAAAAACTGACTTGTTCCTCAATTCCCTGTGTCAGAATAAATGATTATTAATAGTTGTAATAATATTAAAATTATATTCCAATTTATATTTTATTTTTATGAAAATAAATTTTAATTAAAAATGGTTAGGTTCCATTATTTTTAAAATTGCTAATTTTATTTTAAAAAAGTGAGTAAAAAGTTAGCCGTGCGCGAATTGTTGCTAGTTTATTACACTGAAAAAAAAATTTATTTGACTCAAATAACCATATAATTGACTATTATCAATTAAATATTTATTCAATATTTATTGGAGTCAATTAATTGGCATTTGCTTCAAATACTGAAATTATTGGTTCAAATACTATTTAATTGACTCTAATAAATATTATTTGATTCAATTAAATATTTATTTCATAATAGTCAATTAATCGGTTATTTGAATTAATTAAATTTTTTTTTCAGTGTATAATAACAAATTAAAAGATGTAGCAAAAATATTGTCATTTGAACGTTCGAAACTTTAGGGACATGAAAAATTTTTTAGATTGAAAAATAAATTTGAAATATTATTTATAGCTGACGGTAGCTCTGACGGTCGTGGCTTTGGCCCTGGCTAGACCAGAACCGCCCGTGAATTCATATTTACCACCAGGAAGAGGTGGTGGTGGACAAGGAGGAAATTTCGGAGGCGGTAGTTCCGGTGGAAGACCTTCGGATACATACGGACCACCTGGTTTCGGAGGTGGAGGAGGCGGTGGCAGCGGCGGCCGAGGAGGAAATGGTGGGAGCTAATTATTTTTAAAATAGAATTTCTTTTTTTATAAAATAGAAGAAATGTTTGACTAAAAAATTAAATATAATAGGTGGTCCACCATCCACATCTTATGGTACACCAAACGGAGGCGGTGGATTCGGAGGTTCCGGTGGTGGTGGTGGTGGCTTTGGGGGAGGAAGCGGAGGTTCCGGTGGTGGGGGCTTTGGGGGAGGCAGTGGCGGATTCGGTGGTGGAGGCTCAGGTGGAGGAAGACCATCTGATAGTTACGGTCCACCAGCATCCGGAAATGCCGGGTCAGGCGGCGGTGGAAGGGGTGGATCCGGCTCCGGGGGATTTGGAGGTATTTTTTTATACTAAATTTTAATATTCTCAATACTACATACAATTTCTAATTATTTCGTAATTAAAAGGCCAAGATACGTATTTAGACCTTTTTATTATAAAATAATTTTTAAAAAAACAACGGCTTTAACAAAAAGCAAATATTAAATCTAACTAAATTAATAATTAATTAAAAAATCTTACCTTAAATTCGTCGATATCTGTACCCTGACTCCGTCCCGGAACCGAAGAACAATCCATTGTACCTGCACGAAAACAAATTGTCTCAAATTCACACAATTTTTAAAAAAATTCCAACACAAAAAATTACATTTAAATACAAATATTATTTCTTATCATAAACGTTCCCGATTTTAATAAATTTGAACACTTCCGAAAAGATAATCCAACCTTGATTTTTTTAAAATATAAATATTAAAATCGTGATTAAAGAATTAAAAGGCACGAACACTGGCGAAAATATAAATTTCCCATAATAGATCATTTTTATAGAAATAATTTTAAACTGGAAAATTTACATGCTATGATTATGTGAGGAATTTTCAAACGATAACTAAACACGTTTAAACTTGTCGACTTTCGAGGAACGGTCACTACCCTTTGTTTGCGTCTGAATGTAAACAGACTACGGGGAACGTACGGACTATATTATTTTAGGGTCTCAGAGATAATATTTATTACTCCCTTGTTTTGATGCAATTAAATTAGTTTTGAAATATTATTTTAAAATGTTTAAATTAATAATTTCTAGATCTCTAACTTTTAATTGTCTCTTAATTTATTTTTTTGTTTAAATTAATTTTACTCAACTAACTTTTAATTTAATTTTGAATTCTCTTTTAATAAAATAATAATTAATAATAAAAAAAATACATAAATAATTAATTAATTAATACATAAATAATTAATGTAAAAAGATGACTGGAAAACTATTCAATTCTGCGACTCTCTGTGATTATTTTTTAATTTTTTTGGAGCAAAATTTGAAAATGTTAATTTAATTTAATACAATTTAACTCAATATAGGTAATTTAATTTACTTCAATTTAATTTTTATTTGAATTAAATTAAATTAAAATTAAATAAAAGATAAATTAAATTACAAAAATATAATAATTTATTTTTAAATCTGACTTCAAATTTGGATTCAGCGACCCTAAAAAACATAGTATACTCATCGCGACTCCAATCGAATTACGTTTAGTATTTTTTTCTTGGGTGGCCATATATGTGACCGCGTCTGAGAAAAGGGACCGAATGACCAAAAATTTGTTTGTTCGGTACTAATTGCATTACATTTTAAGGACCTTAAAGTGCAAGAAACCACCTAATTTTAAAAATCGATTTTTTTGGTCGTAAGGTCCCTTTTCTTAGACGCGGTCACATATGGGACCTGGTTTGTCAAGAGGTTAAAAAATCTTAAATATAAATAAAATGCTAAGAAATACTTTTACTAATAATAATTTATTTTACAGGAGGCAGACCTTCAGATAGTTACGGTCAACCCCCACCTCCACCGGGTGGTGGCGGTGGTTTCGGAAATAATGGCGGTACACCGTCAGACAGCTATGGTACACCCCTTACAGGAAATGGAGGAAGAGGAGGTGGTGGTGGAGGTTCCGGAGGTGGAGGCAACGGATTTGGTGGCCGGCCATCAGATTCCTATGGACCACCATCAGGTGGAAACAATGGTAGAGGAGGAAATCAAGGTGGGGGAAGACCATCAGACACGTATGGAACACCGTCAGGAGGTGGTAATGGTAGAGGAGGAAATCAAGGTGGTGGCGGTGGTAACAACGGATTCGGAGGTTCAGGAGGTGGAAGACCATCGGACAGTTACCTCCCACCAGGAAGCGGAAGTGGAAACGGAAACGGAAGGGGAGGCTCCGGAGGTGGTAGACCATCTGATTCTTATGGACCACCTTCCGGTGGTGGAAATGGTGGGAATGGAGGAAACGGAGGGAGAGGTGGTTTCGGTAATGGTGGTTCCGGAGGTTCTGGTGGTGGAAGACCATCAGACTCTTATGGACCACCCTCCGGCGGTAATCGAGGTGGTTCCGGAGGTTCCGGTGGTTCAGGTGGAGGAAGACCATCTGATTCTTATGGACCACCTTCCGGCGGAAATGGCGGTTTCGGTGGTGGTAAGTCTTACTAAAGAAAAGTAAACGTATTTTTGTATTTAAATCAGTAAATTAAATGTATCTTTTCCAGGTAGAGGAGGTGGTGGAGGTTCGGGAGGAAGTGGAGGAGGTGGAGGGAATGGAGGATTCGGAGGTGGTGGAAATAGTGGCGGTTTCGGTGGAGGAGGGAGGCCATCAGATTCTTACGGACCACCTAACGCCGGGGGCGGTGGTGGTGGTGGTGGAAGGGGAGGTGGTGGAAATGACGGCTATTCTTCTGGCGGCCCTGGAGATTTCGGAGGAGGCGGATCTGGATCTAGTGGTTACGGTGGAAATGCCGAAGAAGAGAGCAATGTGAGAATTGTCGATTAATTTTAATCAACTTTCGCGCTACTAAGGGCTGCACTCGGGATAGTCAACAAAATAATATTGTATTGCTCCAGTTTTGCTCAATTTTAAATTCCTGATAAAAGTTTTCATCACTTTCGGAAAATTGAAAGCCTTGTATTCCCTAACGGCATCCGGATATTTAGGATAGTTTGCGGACGTACTTACCATTTCCGAAAACTATGATGTATATCCTGATATACCCATTGCTGTTAGGGTGTAAATGCCTTGATGATCTTAAGTCTTTTTTGCAATGTACAAATAATAAACGTTTTGACTGTTCCGGGTGGTCTATGGTAGTCCGCATGCACCAAAAAGTTCGTTAGCGTGAAGATTAATAACAATAGTAAAAATTATTAACTACTACACTGAGAAAAGTTAAGCACAAATTTTATCCTGAACACATTACATAATTTTTATCTAACCTTTTGAGTAACAGGTTCAGTCCACAATAGACAAATATATCTTGAGCAGTGCATAGCAACTGTATAGGTTTACTTTGTTTCAATATTGTGAAGTATGCATCAGAGGCTATGCATTGCTCAAGATTTATTTTCCTATTGTGGTCTCGACCTCACGTACAGATGTTCAGTTAAAATTCTCTCAGTGCATATTAATAAAATGCGTGTAATTACTATTTTTGGTTAAATACTGAAATAAGTGACATCATTCCAGGAACCAGCGAAATATGAATTTTCTTATGAAGTGAAAGATGACCAGTCAGGAAGCACTTTTGGACACACAGAAACTCGAGATGGAGATAGGGCGCAAGGCGAGTTCAATGTATTGCTTCCGGATGGTAGGAAACAGATTATAGAATATGAAGCCGACGCTGAGGGTTTCAAACCACAAATAAGATATGAGGGAGAAGCGAACACGGGAGGTGGTGGTGGAGGCGGTAGTGGAGGCTATCCTTCTGGAGGACCATCCGGAGGTGGCGGAAATGGTTATCCTTCTGGAGGTCCTTCAGGTGGTGGTGGCTTTGGAGGTAGTGGAGGTAGCGGAGGATCCGGAGGATTTGGAGGTAGTGGAGGCGGTAGTGGTGGTTATCCCTCTGGAGGCCCAGGAGGTAATTCCGGAGGTGGTTTTGGAGGAGGTAGAGGTGGTGGACAAGGCGGCAACTCCGGAGGTGGCTTTGGAGGAAATTCCGGTGGCGGTTTTGGAGGAAGCGGAGGTGGTAGTGGCGGTTATCCCTCCGGAGGTCCAGGAGGTAACTCCGGAGGTGGATTTGGAGGAAGTGGAGGTGGTGGACAAGGCGGCAATTCCGGAGGTGGCTTTGGAGGAAGCGGAGGCGGCGGTTACCCTTCAGGAGGTCCAGGCGGAAATTCCGGTGGTGGATCCGGAGGATTTGGAGGTAGGGGAGGCGGTTCATCCGGTGGAAACTTCGGAGGAGGTGGTGGTGGAGGAGCAGGAGCAGGAGGATATCCACGAGGTGGTCCCGGAGGAAATGGCGGAAATTCAGGAGGAGGCTTCGGAGGAAACGGTAAAAATTAAAAATCTATTTTCAAAATAAAATAATGAACAATATAATTAAATCGAATTTTTTTCAGGAGGTCAAGGTGGAGGTGGAAATCAAGGCTACCCTTCAGGAAGACCTGGTGGTGGTGGTAATAATTTCGGGGGTGGCCAAGGAGGCGGAGGTCAAGGAGGCGGTTATCCTTCAGGTAGTGGAGGTGACGCTGCAGCCAATGGAGGATACCAATACTAAATGAGTTAATTCTAATTAAACGAATGTTTCGGATGTATTATAGAGCTACAAAGGTTGCTCATAACATAGTCTCACGACACCGCAGTCCTGTAATTATTTTGGATACGGTTGTTTGAATCTGACGAGTGATGTTTGAACTGAAGTGAAAGGCATTAATTACTTAGCACTATTCAAAGATCTAATTAGCCATTAAATTGAGAAGACGTCCACAAGGGCAATTTATTCAACAATCTTAATTAATAACCAAGAATAGTACAAGTAATACTCAACAATTTTCAATTCCTTTTTTTTTAATTCTTAAAAATAATTGAAAAATAATTGAAAAAAATAATTGAAAAATTGTTTCTAAATATTTTAAAGAGGCAATCTCGTCAAATTCAACAAATCCTATAAAATGGACTACTGTGATAGTGAACGTAATAGATGCATTTATGTAAGAATTTATCGCGACAAGAATCTGCGAAATTTTGTTCAATCAAGTGTTTGACGAAAATGATACCTAGCTGAACTATTTAGTCTAAATAATGTATAATCCTCGCCCCTCTCAAATATTTCGTCGTCACATGATATGATCGAACACAGATAGCAGATTATTAATGTTTCCTGTAGACAAGATCGTATTTTATTTATTTATAAAATATACACAATTTGTTTATAGAAACCTAAATGTATATGTAGTTTATAGCGCAAAAAACAATCCGCATAAATAAAGAATGCGGTCAGCCATAACTTGTGTTCATTTCTTTTTATTGATCACCTGTCAAAACGCTTGTTAACAAACTGATGAGAGTGCTCACCCACAGTTTAATTACAAATTCAATACACTTTTTGTATATGAATAAATTGGCAATCTGTTTATGGATCTCGAAATATTATTCAATGTGTACACGCATTGAAAATTATACATTCATATGAAGTAGTGACAATTTTCCTTACATTAAAATCAGTTTTATTACACACAATTGGAAAATATTTAATTTATATTTTTCATTGACTTGCAATTAAAATAAATTTCTTTTCCAATAGTATTATGTAATTTTAAAAAAAAATCATCTTTTCAGGAAGAATTTACTAGCTAGAAATTTCAATTTTGAAATTCAGAAGATTGAACGGGAGAAAAAGATTTGTGAGGATTTGTATCAATGTAGGTATATACGAAGATGAGTCGTGACATGATGCAATTGATTGCATGTAGAGTAAACCACTATTGGCATCCCACTTGTAAATTGCATAATAAACTCTATTATGCCAAGAAACATAGAAAGGACGTTTTCATCATTCGCCATGACCAATCATAAAATTATAACGATTTATAACGATCAACAAAACGCAAAAATAACTTGCGCTTCTTTTTCCCAATTTTACGATCGAATAATGGCGCGATTTTATGCCTTTTTTTTAAAATGAAAACTTAGTACCTAATGTTGCATTCACGACCTTGGAATAGTTTTCCTTGTGAATGCAAACGAACGACGTTAATTTATTGCTTCTTTCTTTTGTCCGATTGCTGCAACATGTCATACTTTTACTCTCATCATCATTCGATCAATCTAATTTTTTTTGTACCATTTTCCTCTATCATTATTTCCTTTGTGTCTTTACTACATTGATATTATTCATTATATGCCGTGTTTTAAAAATACAAAAGACATCAACAGTATTAACGAACAAAATCACATTTAAATTAATCCACATATACGCTCTCTTCATTAAGTGAATTTAACAATTACATTTATAGAAACACGATAATTAATTAAATTTGTAGATTATTAAAAGGACTTTCGTTTATTAATTAAACTCGTACGTTAATTAAACTTTGTTAAATATTTTTCTTTTTTAAGTAAACTTTGTTCAAAGGTAAAGAATTAAAACAAAATTCTTAATAAGAATTTAAAGCTATAAAGTTTGTTTTAAATAACGAAATCAAATAATTGTATACAGGTATTAAGAGAATAAAATAATAAATTCAAGATAGATGCTAAACACAAGTCTCTGCGGTTTTCTTATTAAGCGTAATGACAATTTTTAAATTGTATATTTGACAAATGAGTATTTTCATCTCTGGTGGCAACCAGGAACATGGTATATAAAATGTTACGCTGTGTCAATTCTTTATCTCAGTATTGTGATCTCCGGTGTGTCAAAGAGTTGCTCTCATGATTTTAACGGTGAGTTAAATCCATTAAAGCAAATAGTCGACTATAATATATGCATTACCGCAATATAACCACACACACACATTAGACAAATTAAAAGTCCATCACAAAATTATCCTATAGTCTAATTTTATTTCGGTTCTATTTCTTGTATCTGTCATTTAAATTCTAAATTAATAACAAATTTCAAAAATGGGACGTAAATAAATAAAAAAAACAAATTAGTAGCATACTTTAATATTATTCGATTTGATTTTTCGAGCAAAAGAGATATTTGTGTATTACTACGAACCTACAGCATTGGATCATATAAAATTAATTATCCAATAAGTAATGTCATCATTTATTACAATTATTACACGCTCGGGTAATCACACTAAAATATGAGAAGTAGTTAGTATAAGAGATAATTAGCTAATTATCAATTTACTGAACTCCCTATGGAAATGTATAGCTAACAAAAGTGAAAGTATAAACGTTTCGATGATGATTCTGCAGCACATGCATACTAATACACGCTATACACAAACAAATATTCAAACACGAATGTATAAGAAATTCGATAGAATGTTATATTTCATTTGAAGAGAGCTATATCTCTCACAATACAAATCTTCTCCAATAATTTGCAATCGACGTATCTACAAATCCAATAGTGCACTTGTCACTATATACGGAATACTCATTGTCAATGAAACCCACAAAGCTATTTAAATGTCCGCCTCACTCGGAATTTCCAACCAAAATTCAAGTGAAACCAAGCAAAAATTCTCACTATATATACTCACAGGTTCACCTGAAATTGTCTACTTTCGAAACTAATTAACAGTCAATTTACACTAAATTATGTAGTGCTGAATTTATATATATTTCATGATGTGTGTATGGTTTAACACAAAGTCTTTTAATCAAACTTTCAATGTTCACCTAAAATAATTCTGAAATTCATCTGTTTACAAGATTATTCAATTCTACTAAATTTTAAATATTCAAAAAAATTTCAAATGAAATATTAATATAATATTTAAAAATTTAAAAGCTTTCAAAACAATTTCAAAACAAATTTTTTAAAAAATTATCTTCTTCAGAATTTTATCATAATAATTATTTAAAATTTTAATTTTCTTTAATTTAAAATAGAAACCTTATGAAATTCAATTATTTCTAAAATTTGTATTTCACTGTAAATGTAATTATTTTTTATAATTATTTTGAAACCCATTTGTCCACCATTATTCAATTTTACTAAATTTTAATTATTCAAAAATTTTATAATTTAATATATAAATTCAAAAACGCAAAACAATTTAAAAACGATTTTAATAAAACTTCAGAAAATTATGTCCTTTAGAATTTTTTATTATAATTATTTAAAATTAAAATTTTCTAACATTTGAAACTGAAACATTTTAAAATTAAATTATCCATAAAAGTATCTATGAAAATAAATTATTTTTAATAATTTTTGAGAATGTTCAATGAGAATTCAATTATTTAAAGAAAAAAAGAAAGGTCACCTAAAATAATTCTAAAAACCATTTAATAATAAATATAATATTGAATAAATAAATAAATATTCAAAAATTCAAACAATTACAAGAAAATTTTTCAAAAAATGAACTTCTTCAGATTTTTTTATGATAATTATTTAAAATTTTAATTTTCTGAAATTTTGATTCGAAACCCTTCGAAATTCATTTATTTATAAAATTTGTATACGCATGTCTAACATAAATGAATTATTTTTCAAATATTTAACTATATTTATAAATCAAATATTTATAATAATTTTTGAAAAAAAAGTTCTTTGAGAATTCAATTATTTAAACAAAAAAAGAACGTTTAAAAATTAAAACAATTTAAAAACGATTTTAACAACAATTTTTGAAAAAATTAAGACCTTAAGAATTTTTTATTATAATTATTTAAAATTTAAATTTTCTCATATTTGGAACTAAAAACTTTTGAAATTCAATTATTTATAAAAGTTGTTAACGCTTCTATTATAAAATTAAATTATTTTCTACGATTTTTAATTAAAATCCCTCTCTAAATAAATTATTTTTAATAATTTTTGAGAGTGTTCTTTGAGAATTTAATTATTTAAACAAAAAAAGAAAAGTAACCTGAAATAATTCTGAAATTCATTTGTTTACAATTTAATTTTTACCAAAATTCAATTATTCAAAAAATTTTTAACTGAAGATGTAAGAATTCAAAAATTTTCTAATTAATAATATATTTAAAAATTCAAAAAATTTTAATTACATTTTTTCAAAAAACGAACTTTTTGAGAATTTTTATTTGAAATTATTAAACTGAAATTTATGAAAATTTTAATAGAAATAAAAAAAAATTACTTTTAAATAATTTAACTTAAAAATTTTGAAGAACTTGGTTTTTTTAATAATTTTGACTGACATTTTTTTTAGAAATTAATTCAATTTTTGAATATATATTTATCTGGAAAATTTTCTAATTATCGAAATATCGTAAAATTTAATTGAAAATAATTTAAATTTAGACGCGTTTTAAATGCAATTTCCTTTTTATTAATAATCTAATTCTCAAAAAAGCTTTCGCAAAATTACTAAAAATAATATCTTTAAAAATGAATTTTAGTTAAAAATTCTAAAAGATAATTGAGTTTTGGAATAATGAATGTTGTAATTTTTAGAAATAATAAAATTTCCAAAGATTTGAATTCGTGATTTTTGATAATTTTAGTTCTTGTGGAAAAAAATACCTAAAAATAAGTATATTTAAAATAATTTAACAAAAGCAGGTACTGAAGGATGTAATAATTTAATTTAGGAATTATAAAAAAATAAGTTTCTGGAAAAATTTTAATGAAAATTAAAATATTATAAGTTTAAAATTTAACTTTAATTAATTTCTTCTAATATTTAATTTTTTTTTAAATTTGATAAAATTTTTTGCATGAAATTCAATATTATTTTTAATATAGCTTCAATAATTTTAATAAAATTTCTCGAAAAATTATTTTTTTAATCCTACATAAAATAAGACATTAAAATAAATAAAATTATGTCTCTTTCATAAAATAAATTGTAAAAAATTTTAATTAAAAATTCTGAAAAAGTTAGTTTTTTGAAACATTTTTTTCAAATTTTTTTTTTTTCAATTTGTTGTACTTTTAAATAGATATTTAATTGAAAAATTTTCAAATTATTGAAATTTCAAGAAATAAAATAAAAATAAATAAAATTTCCATTAAGAATTCAATTATTTAAAAAAAAATCTTAATAAAATTGTATGCAAACATTTAATTTTTTTCATAAGTAATAAAAATTTCACAGGAATTCAATTATTTTTATCAATAATAAAATTTTTTTAAGGAATTCAATTATTATTTTCATAAAAAATAATTTAAAATTCTATAAAATAATAATTGAATTAAAATGATGAAAATAATTTTGATAAGTTACAGTAACAATATTCTTATGAAATAAAATAATGATTTTATTACTTGGTCATTTTTAATTATTAGAAAAAATGAAGAAATCGATCACTCCGAGTCTTCGACTCGGAGCAATCGATATCTTCATATTTTATAACATAAAATACTTTTATAAGTTGTTTAATTTAAAAAAGGTTTGAATTTGAAATTTTTGTATGTCTTAATTCCTGTGTAAAACAAAATAATAATTTTGTTAAAAAAATCGTGATTCATAAAGAAAAATAATGCAATATAAATAAATTTTCTATTTCTTAATCACAGTTGTTTAACAATTTTCTAATTTTGCTTAGAAGTAAAAAACGAAAATATGCATAATTTCAATTTAAAAACCTATTTAACAAAATTTTAGTCTTTTAATGAAAAGAAGTGAAAAAAATTCTGATGATTTCTATTTGTTATTACAATTTTGAATTAATTATAAAATAAAAATAATTATAACATAATAATATAATATACAATATATCTAAAGTCTGCAAAAAACCAAAAGTATAAACAAAAGACAACTTCAGAGTGTGAGGGACAGAAAAAGTGAATGAATGAAAGAACATTCAAATTATTGTAGTTAATTTAATTAATTTAATTCTTAAGGAACTTTCTCAAAAATTATTAAAAATAATAATAATTGAATTAAAAATAAATTTCAGTTAGAAATTCTAGAAAATAAGTGAATTGAAAAACTAAGTTCTGGAATGAAAGAAAGAATAGATTATTATAGTTAATAATAATTACAGTTAGCAACTATTTTATCACTGGACTGCCACGAAATGAATTTAATAATACGTTTATTTTTCTTTTATTTTTCCGAATTTTCCATAAAGCTCCATCTAAAGTCTGCAATGTTTGCAAATGCAAAAAGAAACCTACAAAGAATTTAGTCTCGCAATTAGTTTGGTAAAAGCAACTGTTTTTTTTTATTGAAATAGATGTTTTTCGGGTCAAAAAGTGACAATGTGGGGACACAACACTATTTTTTTCTTTCGACCCTCTTCTTCAGTATAAATCGATAAATTATGTTTTTTGATTATTGAAGAATCTAAAGATGAAATTTACATGTTGTAACATGAAAACACTCGAGCTAAGAATAATGGACAAAAGAATTTTATCGTAAAGATCACTTGACAATTTTAATGAAAAGTTAACAAGCTCAAGTGAACAAGTGTTCTAGAGTTAAATTCCTTGACACATAACACCCAATAGGACAAACATGTTAAATGAACACTGAGAAGGATCAGAGTGAAGCGGTTTGGGAGAGACATGGTGAAGTAGCGAGCCACCAAGATACACCTTAATTCGAGTGGAATTTGAGGGGCAACGTCAAGGAGAAACGTTGACGTTGCGAATCTTCTCTCAAGTGGAATACATCATTCTATCCATAGGTATTGCTGTTGACGACGATGCTGCTGGTATTAGGAATTTCGAGTGAACCACAGGGACCATCATATCTACCTCCCAGTGGAGGTGTTTCTGCATCACATCCGTCTAGACCTGATGCTGGCCATCCTGACGAGTGGGCCGGGGTATGTACCATGTCTATATCTAACTTAAACGCTAATACTGATTCTCTCGAATTCCTGAATTATTCACAGATCTCAAATCTCAATAACAATGTAAGATTGAAATTCCTAGGGAAGATGAATTATTCGGTTTATACAGTTTGTGTAGTCGCTAATTAATTTCTCTCCTTTACTATAAACTGTACAGTATGATATGCGGTTATATATTTTAAATTCAACATTTCATGCAATTGTTTCTCTATCATTAAATACTCTGCAACTATTGCGCATTATATTAAATGATTGAGGATTCCTTCACCGCAAAAAACCACAAATCGCGCACGCGCGCATTTATTCTCATAACAACAACAGTGTTGCAAAATATTAACGAAACAACGTGAAAATTAAATTATGCCATACTCTTTAAAATCAAATCAAAATCAACAAGTCGTACTGTTCAAGAGGACAATTTTCAATTACCATCTATTGGAGCTGCTATGATCAGAAAGAATAAGCTAATTTTCGAATTCTATTCTTCACTAAATTCACCAATTTAAAAAAAGAAATAAAAATTTTTAGATAAACATAAAGGTTGGAATTACTATTTTTATTAGTACACGGAGAAAAAAGATTGTTACGCTGACAAAAAGATTGATAATATAGAACTAACAAATTTATTTTGTTGTCCTAACAATTCAAATTTTTTCTAATATCAATAAATCTGTTGAGGTAACAAAAAATTTTGTAACAACAGCAAACGAAATTTATTAATTCTATATTAACAATTCTTTTTCTATGCGTAATCTCAGCTAATTTATTGAATAATTAAATGTTTCTAAAAATTTAATTCTCATAAAGAATTTTATCAACAAATTTTTAAATAATTGAATTCTTTTGACGAATTTTAATAAAAATTTTAAGAGTAATTACATTTTTTGAGGAATTCTATTAAAATTGTATTAAAAATAATTGAAATTCTGCAAAGAGTTTTATTATTTATAAAAATAATTGAATTATTAAAAAGAATTTTATTATTTACGAAAATAACTGAATCCCTGTAAATAATTTTATTATCTATGAAAATAATTAAATTATTGCAAAGAAATGGATAAAAAAAATTGTAAATAATTGAATTCCTGTGAAATTTGTATTACCTTATGAAAATATTTAAAAGTTTTGCGTAGAGTTTTATTAAATTTTTTTTATATAATTAAATTCTTTTGGAAAATTTTATAAAAATAGTAGGTATTAAAAATCATTGAATTGAGGGAAATTTTTGAAAATATTTGAAATTTTGCCAAGAATTTTATTTAAATTTTCGGAAATAATTAAATTTCAGAGAAGAATTTTATTATTTCTAAAGATAATAATTGAAATTTTGACGAGAATTTTTAAAAAAATTTTTAAACATAATTGAAATTCTGCTAAGAATTTTATTACTTTTGATAAAATAATTGAATTTTTGCAATAATTTGTAACTTTTACAAAATTTAATTTTTTTCGTGTTTTTAACTAAACATCTTCTATAAATCCTTTATTTTTAATAATTTTTGAAAAAGTTCTTTAAAAGTTTTCCAATTCATTTGTTTACAATTCAATTTTTCAAAATTTCAATTCATCGTAAATTCTTTTATTAAATATATATTAGAAAATAAAAACTTTAAATAATTTCAAAAAAAAATCCGCAATTAATGTTTCTCAAAAAAAATTAATTCCACAGAATTGTTAGTTAAAAATATGAAAATTCAAATTTTCAAATATTTTAATCTAAAACTTTTTCAATATTCAATTATTTCTAAATATTTACGCTCTAGTGCTTTTAATATTCAATTATAATCTAAAATTTTAACTGAAATCTATTTTTAAATCAATGTTTATGATAAAATTCTACTAGAATTCAATTATTTAAATACAAATAAAATGCAAATAAATAATTTATTGAATAATTGCATGTTTCTTAAAATTGAATTCTCATAAAGAATTTTATCTGTAAATTTTTAAATAACTGAATTCTTTTGACGAATTTTAATAAAATTTTTAAAAAATTTTCGAGGAATTCGATTAAAATTTTTGAAAATAATTGAAATTCTTCGATGAGTTTTACTATTTATGAAAATAATTGAATTCATAAAAAGAATTTTATTATTTACGAAAATAATTGAATCCCTGTAAAAATTTTATTATTTATGAAAGTAATTCAATGATTGCGAAGAAATTTATAAAAAAAAAATTGTGAATAATAAAATTCCTGTGAAATTTTTATTATTTTTTGAAAATAATTAAAAGTTTGTGTAGAATTTTATTAAATCTTTAAATAAATAATTGAATTCTTTTGGAAAATAGTAGATATTGAAAATCATTATGATTTGAGGAAAATTTTTGAAAATAAATCAAATTTTGCGAAAAATTTAATTAAAATTTTTTAAAATAATTGAATTTTGGAGAATAATTTAATTAGTAAATTTTTACGAGCAATAAATCATATTTTACTAATTAAAATCGAGAAAATTCGTTCATAAAAATGACTAACAATCAGAGAAATTTTACTACTTATTAGAAGTATTTTACTAATTCAACCATAGATCCTATAATAAATCAATTTTATTATAGAATTTACTTTAATTTAGAAGTAAGTGGTAAAATAACATTTACGTCAGACAAAGAAGATTATTTATTGTTCAGAAACTTATTTTCAGTAGTAAAACTCCGCTTTAGTCAGACGATAATATTTTTAAATTGGTTTAGTAGTAAACGAGCATTACAGTCAGTTAATATAATAATTTTCTCATTTATATTTAGTTTCAGTATATAGTAAAAACCAGTCTAGTAATTTGTTAAAATTAAAATTAATATTAAGAAAAATAAACATTCAAGAAACAAGAAATTATTTAAAATAGAATTTCGATAATTATCAAGAAAAATGATTTGAAGTAAAGAATATTATAACATTATAAGAAATATTAATTCGATGGTATTAACATTTTTTGTTTAAAAAGCAATTCAGTAGTAAAAATGGCTTTAGTCAGACAAGAATATATTTTATTGTAAAGTTAATTTAAGTAGTAAAATATTATTTTAACTGGATGACAATATTTTCAATCCAACTTTAGTTTCAGTAGTAAATGATCGTTTTAGTCAGACTAAAGTTAAACTAAAGTCAATTTTACTTTCTTTAATCTAAGTTTAGTTACGGTAATAAAACAACCGGTTATATTTGATCTAAATATAGTTTCAGTAGTAAAACCCGTTTCAGTCAGACGACAATATTTTAAAGACACGATTCGACTAGATTTTCAACTCTTTATTTATTTATTATTATTTGGAAAAAATTGACAAAATTATTTTTACAGTAATTTTAGTAATTTAATTTTTTTTGTTTATTTTATTTACAGTAATTTTTTTAATCATAGAATCAAATAGTCAAATTAGAAAATTTAATATAATATTTTGTACAATTAAATTTTTTGTTTTATTACCCAAAGTAAACTTAAATCATAAATTAATATTGTCGTTGGACTAAAATATGTTTTAAAAAATGTTTTCAATCATTAATAATTTATATTGCAAAGTAATTAATCAAAATTACTGCGTGAATAGCGTACAATTACTCTTAATACTATTTGATCATTCGTAATACGACTAAATATTTCAAAACAAAAAAAACAAATTTTTTTTATTGTGAACAATTTTCTTTTCTTAAATTAATATTAATAAGAAGAGACAATTCCCATTGATTAAAGAAATCTGTTTCTCTAATTTTAAATTCATTGACAAGTGAAGAATTGATGAACTTAATTGAACAGAGCAGAAGATACTCTGATTTAACGATTTTTGTTTAAAGAGAAATTGCAACTTTAATGTTCGTTAATATTAAGAACAAATCCGTGTAATGAGTCAATTCTTCTCACTTCATTCTTTAAACACCACTTCTCTTTTTTATCGACTTTCAATAATTTTATAAATTCATAAATATTCTCAATTCACGAATTTTCTCAAGAAAAATCTTTTTCAAATTTTTCCTTTCTGTAGCAAAAAAAAAATTCCTAAATGAAATTTATTTCAAATCTGTCAGATTTCTATTTGAAAAATTCAAAACAATTAAAATATTTTAGGATCCAGTCAACTATGAATTTTCCTACGAAGTACAAGACGGTGATGTTGGTCTTGATTTTGGACATCGAGAAATGCGCAAAGACAACACAGCGACCGGAAGCTATCATGTTCTACTTCCTGATACACGTATTTTATACGTCGACTACATTGCAGACGAAAACGGCTATCGACCGATGATTCGATATGAAGGAACCGCCTCTTATCCCGCTCCCGGTTCTCGTCCTTCATCGGACCAGGGGTATAAATATTAATGAATCCATTGAATATGCATCAAGCATTAAAATGAAGATGCGAAAAATGTCGTGAATCGCTTTCTGAGCGTTGATCGTTTCGGAAGCAATAAATTCTCAGAATAAAGTTATCTTTGATGACAAAAGCGAAAAAAAAATGAAATGAAAACGAGGGTGTCACGAATAATGTGAGATTTTCTATCAAAAAGTCCTTTCACTACCCGACATGTCTTTTTCACGGCACAAAAAAAAATTCTACACTAAAGAAATTTCATGTAAAATAATTAATCACAGTTTTTTATTGGAAATTTCACTATAAAAAAGTTGAAGGTTCAATTGAACTTTTTTTGGGTTTAAATATTTAAAATATTTAAAAATAGTTTTAAATATTTAATATATTTAAATATATACTATTTAAAAATATTTAAAAATATTTTAAATATTTGAAACTATTTTAAAATATTTTAAAATATATTAAATATTTAAAACTATTTTTAAATATTATAAATATTTTAAATATTTTAAATATTTTAAATACTTTCTTCTATTAGGTTAGAAATTAAATAATTTTCAAAATTGACTGAATTGAAAAATTTAATAAAATTGAAAAGCATCGTAAATTCATTATTTGCACGCTCAAAAATTATTTTCTTTTACATTATCAAAACAATATTTTTTATTAACAAAAGGTTAATAACAAAAATACAGAGTAAAAAAAATACAGAAGTTCATTTTAACTTTCAAAAAATTTAGGCATCTGTTAGAAATAAAAACCTAAAAAACAAATTTCTACGCCAAGTAGTAAATTTTTAATTAAATGTATTAAGTTTTTAATGGTTTAACGAATTTAATTAATAACCAGTGTTGCCACGCTTTTGCTCTTTTCAAATTCCCTGACTTTTCCAGGTTTTTTCATTTTTAAATAAATATTTAATCATTATTATTTTTTTATAAAGAAATTAAAATTTTCAAAAATTTGAAATTCAATAACTTATAAGAATATTATCATAAAACATGAAGATATCGATAGTTTTTTTTTCTTCAGGTCAGTTTTTTTTAATAATTTTTTAAAAAGTTCTTTCAGAATTTTCAAATTCTTTTGTTTACAATTTCATTTTAGGAAATTTCGATTATTCTGACATTCCTCAATTAAATATATTAGAAATTAAAAACTTTAAATAATTAAAAACAAATTCCATTAAATTTTTTGAAAAAAAATTAATTCTACAGAATTTTTTAATTAAAAGTATAAAAAGTTCAAATTTTCAAAGATTTTAATTTGAAACCTTTTGAAAATTCAATTATTTCAAAAAAATCCACGCTATAATGCTTTCAATATTCAATTATAATCGAAAATAATGTAGGATTTATAATAGTGATAACACAAATACTTTGAAATATATGAATTTAATAATAATAATTGTTGAAAGTTACAAAATACAATTCTTTGATAAGCGTCTTACAAAAACAATGTTGCAGCGCGTCGTGTCAATTTCTATATTCTAACCTAAAAAAACTATGGTAATCAATAATGCATCCGCATTATTGATCGATGGCGCTACGAACGATTACCGCCAATTTCAAATAAGTATTTCAATACAAAGTACAGGATGATTATTTTCTACAACTCGGCCATCCTACATTGTCATACGCCACGAATGACTAATTTTTGGAAACCCACGGTTTCATGTATTCTGCGCAAGTGCTTGTGTTCATAGGGCCTTCACCATTGCCAACGCGTTTTACATCATAAGTGTTATTGAATTTCACTTTGGTGATTTTGTAAGGACCTAAGTACTTAAGTTTCAACTTGCTACCCGGAATCATTTGGGTGCGTTTAATGGCTACGAGGTCTCCTTCTGCGTATGTCGATGGTTCTCTTCTGCGTAAATTGTAGGATTTCCTATTCTCTTGCTGAACTTTTAAAATTTGTGATTTAGCTTGTTGTCGAAGATCGTTCCTTGACTCGTCAAGTTGATTTTGCCACTCTAACTCTAAAATTTCTGCCAATTCCAAATCATCTGCTCGTCGCATTTCCACTCCAGTAAGTAAGCGGAAAGGAGTCATTCCAATACTCCGTTGAAACGTCGAATTCAAGGTCTGTTGAAGTTTATTAACGTGTTGGTACCATTTACTTGGATTGTCTATACACATTTTCGATAAGGTTGGTATAATGACACGGTTAATGCGTTCAACTTGTCCATTAGCCCTCGGTAAACCAGTTGTTATTTGATGGTGTTTAATTTTCTCTTCGTTACAATATTCTTGAAATTCTTGCGATGTAAAGGCAGTGCCTCTATCCGAAATGATACGAACAGGATTTCCAAATATGAATTTTTGTCTGTTCAATCGATCTATGACTTCTTTTGTGGTAGTTGATTTTGTTGGGTAAAGCCAAACGAATTTCGAAAAAGCATCAACTACGACCAGTATATGCTTATACTGTTTACTAGTAGACTCGAGAGGTCCCAGGTGGTCAATGTGATAGGTGTGTAGTGGTAGGTCAGTTTTGTCGCTGTTATTCAAATAACCCTCTTTACGTCCTCCTTTTCGATTAATGACCAAACAGCTTACACAATTTCCTATAAATTTCGATACCTTATCTGATAGTGAGGAGATGAAATAATTTCTTCGAATAATTTCTTCCGTACGTTTGGCAGCAAAATGGCCACGCTGATGTGCTACACGGATTATTTCTTCTTCCATACAAGCAGGAATCACCAGTAAATCATCTCCATTTTCGAACTTATGAAGTAAACCATTTCGCATCACGTAGTTATCATTCAGTCCGTCATCAAGGGAGTCGACGATTTCTTTAATTTTCGGATCGTTCTGCTGTGCTTCTTTAAGTCGTGCGGTTATATCGTCGATTTCGATAGTAAAAACAGGGTAGCGACTTAAAGCGTCCACATGCCGCATTCTCTCGCCAGATCTGTGTTCTATGGTGCAAGAATATTCCTCAATAAGCTGCGCCCATCTCCAAATTTTGGGTGAAATTTCCTTTTTGTCCATTGTCTGCTTAAAGGCTGCACAATCTGTCACCACTTTGAAGTCGATGCCAAGCAGATAGACTCTGAATTTCTGTAAAGCACGAACAATTGCTAAGGCTTCTAACGTATAACTAGTCATTTTCTGTTCTGCGGGTGTCGTCTTATGGCTTAAGTAATGTGTTGGGTGAAACTTGTCGTCATCGGGTGAACGTTGTAACAAAATTGCCGCGGTTCCGTCTTTACACGCGTCAGTGTGTAATTCGGTTTCGTGTTCTCTATCAAAAAATTTCAATACAGGTTTTTCTGTGAGTATCTTTTTTAAATTTGTAAAGGCTTCTTGCTCTGAAGGACCAAATTGAAATTCCTTGTCTTTTTTCATCAAGTCGCTTAACGGTTTCGCTATTAAGGAGTACTTATTTATAAATTTTCGGAAATATCCCGTGAGACCAATGAAACTTTGTACATCTTTAACTGATTTCGGCTTCGGAAAATTGGTCACGGCCGATATTTTCCCAGGCGAAGGATAAATTTTTCCGTCTTCGATGACTTGCCCTAAATATTCGATTCTCTTTTTCAAAAGGTGACATTTCTTTTTGTTAATCTCGAGTCCATAGTCGCTAGCTACTATTAAAACAGTTTTCAAATTTTCTATCGCTTCCTGTTCGGTTTTCGCCAATATAATTATATCATCAAAGTATACGCATACAATTCCATTATTTATTAGAGGCCTAAAAATACAGTTAATGAAGCGCTGGAAAACTGCTGGTGAAACGCAAAGGCCAAAGGGAGCCTTCAAGAAAGCATACTGCCCTTTGTGTGTTACAAATGAAGTATACTTCTGACTTTCCTCGCTAACGCTTACATGAAAAAAACCGTTTTTCAAATCCAACGTACTAAATATTTTCGAATCTTTTAAGGCATCAATTAAATCTTCTATTAACGGAATAGGATATTTATCTTTTATAATAACTTTATTAATTCGTCGGTAATCGACACAAACTCGATATGTGCCGTCTTTCTTTTTAGTTAGTACTATAGGGCTTGCGTAGCCACAATTAATTGGTTTGATAATTTTAGCCTTTTCCCACACTTCAACTTGATCATCTACTACGTCACGCTCAACAATAGGTAAACGTCTTGGACTAGAATAAATCGGCTTGTCGTCATTTAAATTTATAGTTAATACAATTTCGGTAGTCTTAGTTTTATTCGGTTTATAACTTATTAAAAGAATTTCCGCTTGTTTACAAATAGAATCATCATCGAGAGGACCAACGTCGATTTCAATTTTTTCTGTTAAAGTTATATTTCCCAAAAATACATTTTGTTCGCATTTTATAATTTTAACGCCATTTTTATCGACTCGAACTTCTGCTAACGGCAATATATTACGGCCAATAATACATTTCATAGGCATAGAATCTACTGACACTACATCAAAATCCAAATTATACGCTTCATTGTCGATAAAAGTCTCTGCTTGAAAAGATCCCTTAGTCTCTACTTTGCCGCCGCCGAAACCTACTGCTTTACATTTCGAGTCTCTTAAATTAATTAATTTAAATTTTTCGAAAACGTCTTCGCGTATTAAGCTTAAAGCACTGCCGGTATCAACGAGAGCTTTCAGGGTTTCACCTTCTACGACTACTTCTTTATAACACGAATTTTCTTTTTCAGAATAAACAAAATCTATCCTGTTTTCCGTATTCGATGGACTAGATGTTTTTGCACCTTTGCAATTTGACGCTATATGCCCGAACTTATTGCATTTAAAACATTTAGTACCCTTCTCTCGACTTTTACACTCTCTAGAAATGTGCCCCGATTTCCCACAGTTAAAACATCGCGTCGTTTTATTTTTCGCACTGTCAGTCTTTTTATCGTCCATTGGTACGTCTTTTTTCTTACTTAACTGTGTGTTTGATTTCATATTAGATTTTCTAATTTTTTCGTACGTCTTTAATTTAATCTTAAACTCGTCTAAATTTTGGGCATCATATAAAATGGCTTTATTATTGGGATCATCTCCCAATCCTTCGATTACATGTTCGATTAGAGCCTCGCACTCTATTTTACCTCGTGAAGCTAATTCGCGCATAACCAAAAAATATTCTTGAACTGATTCGGAATCTTTAATTTTTCTTTTAGCAAGCATAGAATGTAATTTAGTGCTAGATAATTTTGTCGAGAATTCTTTTAGTAAAGCCGTCTTTAACTTTTTCCATGT